AAGCCTTAGGCAGAAACGAAATTGGTGGGATGAAGAAATCGAGAACTAACTTTGGAACTGTTTATTGTCCGTAATACCCTTAGCTTTAATTTTAATACACAATGTTATAATCGTAAGACTTGAAAATAGACTTAAAAGCTAAAGTGACAGGAGGGGATCTTTAGATATTTTAAAAATAAATAGTAAAATATGAACTGACAGTTGTCTAGAAGCGACTAACCCAAACTAATCTAAACTCAACCTAAGCAATGGTCCAGGTTCTCGTCGAGGATCTAGTCCGGGAATGGCTGCTAGGAGGTAGTGCGGGTTCTGTCTTGGCGTTGTTGACTAGTAGGACGGGTGTTCTAGGCTAGCTTCCTGCTTTCATTCACTCCCCTAGGCGTGAGAGAATATCTTCCGCTGTTGGCATCCTCTGGAGGGCTAGCTTCCTGCTGCGCGAGGTTCTCAGTCTCTACTAAATTCAGGAAAAAGGGGCTCGCTGCAGTGTACCTGGCAGGCTGGCTTTTTGCTTTGGCTATTGGCTTTCCAGTCTGGGAAGCGTTCTCCTTGGCAGTCAACGTCCTGTTTGATCTCTCTGGCTAAGAGATTGGCGGGGCTTATTGCTGCGTTTGTTCATACCTACTCAGTTCAGGCGAGAAGACCTACGCAGCAGTAGGCCTGTTATGACGGGTGAAAGCTTTGTGCTCCGTTTGGTCCTCAATCACTACTTAGTTCAGAAGAGAGAGAGGATTTATGCATCGGTGCGCCTGCGTGTTTATCAACTGCGTGATTTCGTCGCGGCGGAAAATGGATTCTGCTGTGCTGGGCGCTTATGTTTTGGGTTGTTGGGGCAACCTTCTCATGAGGCTGTATGGAAACCCTCTCACTTGTTCTGGCGTTTTTTGGTATCTGTCCGTCTCGTGGTCACGTTTACAGTTGAAGCTGGCGTGATCTTTGATCTTCTGGGCCTCTAGTTTTGGAGGGTCCAATTTGCTGTTAATTTCTTTCACATGACAGGGTGGAATCCAAAGAGGTCGACTTCCGATTTCACTTGGCTTGTGGTGGTCGATTCCAGGACCCCCTTGCTTGATACTCCGTGCACAAGCTTGTTTTCGGGGTGCTGGAATGTGTGGTTTGGGATGCTAGAACTTTCTAGATGACTTACCAAGCCTCTGTAATCGTCTGTTCTGGCTGGAAGCAGGTCACTCCCTCATCAGTGGCAGAGGCCTCGATTACTGTCAACTAGTTGGTTCTGGCATGGAGGGTGACCTGGTCGTACTTGGAGATGACCCTAAGCAGGATTGGGGGCACCATTTTCGAATCGGGCACCACTGTCATGTCTGTGGTTGTGGCAACTCTGACGACGTGGCCTCTTCTTTTGCGCCTCCTCGTCACGTGCGGGTACCATAGCTGGCTTTTGATCGCCCGTTCTTCACTACAGGGCGAGCGTCTCGGCGGAATCGGGTATGCTGATGGCGGAGCGTCTCCTTCCTTGGAGCACTTGATTGGCGCCGTTGGCGGGCACGGCTTTTGAGCTGGATTTGGTTGGAAGACGTTACTTCATTGGCTTCTTGTTCCTGGAAAAAAAGAAGAAGGGTTTTTAAGCTGGGTCAGAATTTGATTCCTTCCGTTTTGACTCAAGCTTGGAGCGCCTAGAAATACAACCCTGTTCGAAACTCAGTCTGGCATGAGACTTAACCGAGGGATAGTAGATTGCCAGCGCAAGAAAATACTGCCTTTATCAACATTGATTGAAATCGCTTAGAGAACTGATGGCATACAAAAATCCTATACCATAGCCTTCCCCAGATACTAATACACCAGATGCAGCTGTGATTATCAATGGGGCACCTCTAGAAAATAAAAAACATCCCATACCTCAATAGTCATTTTTCGACAAATTCAAATATTGACGTGAAAATTCAACACCGGATAAGGTGCGCCTGCGCAGCTTCTTGACGTTTTTGAAAGAGGCAACTACGACAAATGCCCAAACTAAGCTCTCGGTCCAAAATCGTCACACCAAACCTGGCCGACCTATAGGCGACGTTTGAGGTGCTTGCAAAAGTATCACAACGACCGGCTACCGCTGACTGTATGTGCAATAGCATCGAAGAACCCGAAGATAATGATGCTGTCTCAGCGAGTGGATGCGCCTATGATGATGCTGATGATCCCTCGAATCAACCTTCTAAGGTTCTGTTGCCTAAAGGGCATTAAATCATTTTCGTCGCAAGTACTCAGTAAATTTAAAATCGTACTAATTTTTGTTACAATGGGGCTGTATTTTTGTGTGAATATTACCCCGATTTTAAAAGTATCATCATTGCTGGTGAGTTTTTTTTTTAAACTAAATGGTTACGTCTACCTAATTAAAATTGAATAGGAAATTCAATCTCAGAAAGCAAATAGTTCAACTAAAGTGGGCCATACATGGCTATGCATTTTATATTTAAAACCATATTTCATTTCTAATATACGGTATCCGCCAAAATAAACAGTACCAAAATCTAGAGCTCTGAGTAATTGCGCACGCATGTGGCAATCATCATATTTCGCTTACTTGGCATCAGTTATAAGGTTGACATTAAGTTAAGGTTAAAATCTTCGTTATTACGTATCTTTCAACTGAAGAAACAGTTTTCTTAGTAGAGCACTATTTCCGGTCATACGGAGTTGGAAGGAATAAACGCTCAAGTTTGAAACAAGTCTCAGAAAAATTTCAGCAACCACTAAATATTTTCAATGATTTGCAGAATCGTTATGAAGCTTTTTTGCGTCGGTCGCTATGATGAATTTTTTGAACATATACGCATGATACAAATTAATAAATGATATAATTTGTATGTTCGGTACTGTTTATTTTGGCGGATACTGTATTTGTGGAACATTTTCAATTACCAACTTCCTATGTGTTAAATGGGTTAAAAATATTGGTATTTTTAGCAGCAAGATTTCACTGTTTTAACAACCGAAACATATTCGAAGTCAAGCTTCCCATCATACTCGTATTCATAACTTCACAATTTTACAGTTTACGTTATGAATATAGTTGAAAAAATAGCAAGTTGATATTTTTATTATTGCCAGGCCAGCATACATACTCTCAAAAGTCCCTCTGAAAACAACATGCATGAAATCGCTAACCCGTTATTTATGGTCGCTCATAATAAATGCAATATATGCCTGCTAAAACGAATGTAGACCTTACGGCTTGACGGACATTAGATCCTTTATTGTTTGACCAACTAAACTGAAAAGTACATTTTGTTAGTATTTTGGCTAAATTTAAAATACACTTTTGCTGCTGGGGCACGTTTTGCTAATAAAGTCGAGCCGGACTTAAACATACGAGCTACTAAAATGATAATTTAGAAATTTATGACAAGCTGTTAATAACAAGAATAGACTGAGCGTCATCTCGTTTCTTGGCTTAGCAATTGATTTTGTGATATTTTACATTAACTACCTAGTTATAGAATTTCTTATTTTGTTTTTTTTTTGCCCTTTTAAAAGCCAAGACCTAAAAATAATTAAGTTAAATTTATTATCGCCGTTCTGCCCATTATACCTATTCAGTTTGAAAAATTGTGGGTCAAAAGGGACATCATTAGATACAACTTATGTTTAACTGATTAACTTTTGAGAATCAGATAAGACCAGTGACTCACCTGTGGACAAGCAATATTAACAGTATCAAGCAAATTCGCTTGATAGCGCAGATAAATTGAAGACAGTCGAAAGGTTGCGATAATAAACCAAAGGGTGATGAAAGTCACTGAGTGACTTACTTGCTGGTGATTCAAAATTTAAAGTTAAAACATGCTTTCCTGCCTTCCTGGAAATTTCTCATATTCGAACTTTTATCGTTATTCCTATGTGCTTTTCATGTATTGGTATACTGTTTATTTTATCTAGTCAATGCACTCTTTGTGATTAATAAAAATGTTCAATACTGAATATTTTTTTGATTTTGAACTATGTATTACAATTATTCATTATGATAGAAAGATGCCATTTAGTCATATTTTGGAAACAATAGGTACAGGATATACAACGAAAGTGCTTTTTACCTTATATACTTGTTAATTGAAGAGGTACAAGAAAATGTTAAATATAAAAGTTATTGGGATTTTTATGAGGAATTAGGAGCATTTATTATAAAGAAAATGGAAAGTCGGGCTTAGAAAATATAGCAAAAAATGTTAAATTTCTTGCTTAATTTAAATGGAAGTACCCATTTTTGAATATGTTTTTGGATTCTACATTAAATTTGAGCCCTGATATACCTATGTTACATGGCCTATAGTAGAATTTAGCAATTTTGGAGATATCGCTAATCAATGGTTTTCCAAAATAAATTACGAAAAAAATGATATTTCATCGTTGAAAGCTGGTAAGAGTGGTACCACACTTACCACTTTTAGCAGCTTTCAACGATGAAATATCATTTTTTTCGTAATTTATTTTGGAAAATCATTGATTAGTGATATATATCTCCAAAATTGCTAAATTCTACTATGAACTATGGGACATGTAACATATATCAGGGCTCAAATTTGATGTAGAATCCAAAAACATATTCAAAAATGGGTACTTCCATTTAAATTAAGCAAGAAATTTAACATTTTTTTCCTATATCTTCTAAACCCGACTTTCCATTTTTTTTATAATAAATGCTCCTAAATCCCAATAACTTTTATATTTAACATTTTCTTGTGTCTCTTCAATTAACAGATATATAAGGTAAAAAGCGCTTTCGTTGGATAACCCTGTACATATTATTATTTTACAACCTATAATATGCAGTTCAAAAACCTTTTTTAAGTTTGGATTTGAATTTTCCCGATATTTCAGGTCTGCAATTACACTGGTCATGAGTCATGATAATAATAATGACATAATTTATCCTAATATATTTATTTACCTTATGAAGAAATTTCCCATTTGACTCGATTTATTAAGGGTGATAAAAACGATCTTATCGAAGATTTATATTAATAGTTTATTTTTGTTTATAGCCTTCCTGGAAATCCGAGTGAAAGCAGCCGAAGCCGCCCGATTCACCTTATACCATCTACCCTATACCGGTCTATACTCATCAGTGGCCGCCCTTTATCCGCCCATCTACTTGCCATCAGAGCTGGGCAGTAGCTAGCTACCAAGTAGTTAAGCAACTAACTTAGCTACTTCTATGGTAGCTAATAACTTATTCAAGCTACTCTTTAAAAAAAGTAGTTTGTAGCTATAGCTTTTTGGTAATGTGTTCCATGTATTCATAAGCTACCTACTGTGAAAAGTAGCTAGCTACTGAAACAAACTACTTAAGCTACTTTTGGTAGTTGAAGTTACTTTTATTGCTCAAGCAACAATTTTTTTTTTCCCGAAAACTCTTATCCTGCCTTGTTTAGACTAGTTTCAACTTATCTCTGTAGCTATGTCCTAGGTCCTGTTTTATTCTCGCATTCGCAGATCACTGTGATCAAAGTGAACTTGATAAAGCTCCAGTGGTTTTTGACAAAAATATGAATACTGCAGTTCCTAGAGTAAGCTAAAATTTTATTTTCGTATGATGATATATTATGAAATTATATATATTAGGTAAGAAACCATCGTCACCAAAAGTACTTGGGACCAAAAATCATAGTTTGAATTTGACACTAAAAATCATTTATTAGTACAAGAGCTAATATGATGCTGTCCCAGTTACTTTTGGTGACGATGGTACATTGTGCACGTTTTTTTGTTTTTATTAATTTAACTTTTAAAAAAGTAGCTTAACCAGTAGCTTTCACTAATTCAATATGTAGTTAAGTTACCAATAGCTTAGCTATTTTTTCAAAGTGGTAGTTGAGCTACCTATAATATAAAGTAGCTTGTAACTTGTAGCTAGCTACTTTTATCAAGTAGCTTGCCCAGCTCTGCTTGCCATCCATGCCTGCTGCGGTGTACCAACAACACCCGGCCCTTATGCCGCCCATGAGACAACAGTCGCCCTCCACATCGCCACACAACCTGACGATGCCATTGAGGCCCACCAGTCAGGCGGGAGAAGGTAAGAATTATTATATTTAATAATAATTAATGGTTATGACCTGATCTTTTTTACGAATTTAATATGTTTTCGAGGGTTTCGCCATCCTTATTGAAGGGCTCAAATTTAATACTAATGAAAAACACTATTTTTGTAAGTTTTTTTTTAATTAACACGGTCATAAATTATCATCTACAAAAAAGAAAATCCATAATTTTTCTTTAAATATTTTCAATTTAACCGGAAAATTATGGAATATTGCCATTGTTTATCGAGCATATTTTGAAATTTGGTGATTGGCCAAGATCTTATTTATCCTACAAAAATATTTTGATTGTTTTTCCCAATTCATTTGGTAGTTCACAAATTTTGGTTAAATTTACCCTTGAAAGGAAGGTTTTGGGGCTTCAATAATGTCCTTGGTGGACCCCCTCTAATTTGTGATAATCTTAATGTTACTGAATGTAAATTAATGTGTAATATTGAAACAAAAAATAGTTTTTTGTATATTTTTTAGGAATTGTATATAACATAAGATTTGCCTATATGAAAAACAATGCATGTGGAAGTGTATGGTGGACCAAATTACACCTATGAGGTTGTATTTTTGCATAAATATTACACCGATTTTGAAAGTATCAGGTTCTGACTAGTTTGTTGCTATATATAATACACTCTATCTGGTTGAAGTTGCTCGCAAAAAATTATTACTTGAATGTTTACAAAGATACCTACATTGCATAATCTTGAGTTTACTTTAAACCAGAAAAACAACTTGGTAAAATGTAGCAACCCTTATACTAAATGATACTGCACATTTAAACTCTCACATTCACAAGAATTCATTATCATCATTTATTTCTTTCCATAAGGCATATGGGTTGAATTGGAAGAAAAAAGACTTCTGTTCCAGATGGAACGATTAGGCTTGCTGATTTCATTTTTTTTATATCCAGAAACTATGGTGATTATTTTCTGGACTAAGACTTGTCTTCTGGTGTTACACGCTTAGGGCCGCTTCTGAAACTCAGCGCCAAAGTGAAGTGTGCACTCCGGTAGTTGAAATGTTGACAACGCCAAGGAGTTTGGAAATAAGTCATATAATCGGTCAGTCGGAAGCAGGCAGGACAAGTGAAATTTACCAAACATAACCGTGCTGTTGTTAAATAGCACAGATCGATGACCTTAGGACTCGATTGTGGTGCTTGTCAATCGATTCCTGTTTTCAGAGATGGTGGAATTATCTTGCCTAGCATCCTACTTGGAGATAGAATTACGGTGAATATACAAAATCATTTTGCTACAACAAAATCAGGAAATAATTACCTCATGGTTGCTATGAACTATTTCTCAAAGAGGTCAGAACCAGTGCCAATCGCAAATCAAGAAGCGGTTACACTTGCTGGAGCATTACAGGAAAACACCATATAGCCAAGCACGGGGTACGATGGAAATAATTTATACCGATCAGCGAATTTGGAGTGAGTCCGGACTAAGGAAACAACTGATGAGGTTAACGATAAGGAGAATCAGAATAGCGACTTCATCCACTATTCAAACGACGAAAATTTCACCAGGAATAGACTTCGTCTGAACAGTGACAGAATGAAGATGAGGCTCGACAACCGACAGCTAATAGTGAAGACTGAGAGGGAAGGGCGCCCCGGTGTAAAGGATTCAACTTTCGCTGAAAGCCAACCAAAGGTCTGTCACGTAGAATGACTGGCCCCATACAGAGGCAAGACTACACCGACTCCGTACGTTGTGCTTGTCGATCTACTCCTGTGTGTACGATGGCGGGAACTTCTCGAGAAAATTAAAGAAGGCTTGAGATAATATATAAGCACCGCGCAACGCAAACGGTGGAGAGTTTCGAATTGGACGGTAAAGCGATCAGATATAGTGATATAGTTTTGCGTGTTGTAATAGTGCTAGTTTTGTCGTAATTTTTGTGGCATGTGTTAAAAATAAAATTTATTTAGGTTTCAAAAGCAGTCATATCTACAAACATGCTTACGTAACAATACAAATTAAATACATATTATTCCGATTTTGTATCTGAAGGAAGATTTAGCTGAAAATGATGCAAGAAGATGGGGAAACTTATCAGAACTGGAATAACTGTATTAAAAGAATTATTGAAAACACATGCCTTTTAGAGTGCAAAAAAGTCATGCAGTAACCTGGAAGGAAATGGTCAGAGGATGGGTCCAATAAGCCATATTTTCTCCCATTCTACTAACTAGACTTGCTTGAAAATATTGAAAAGCATGAAAAAGTTGTAATTTGAATTCTTTTTTTTTTCAGTCTATAATCTTTATTTTGGTGTGGTGGCCTGCAGGGTCCTTGTCGAGTCGAGTGCGAGGTTGTTAGCTTTGTATGTGGGTGCGTTGTGCTAAATTTAATGTGTCCATTTTGTGCTCCTGGGAGTACAGAGGTAGTCTGTAGTGTATCCTTAGACTATATACCTACAATGCTGTAGAGATAGGACAAGTCATAGATTTTTTTGTGGTGGGAGAACGCTGCAGCCCGCAGGAGTCTTTGACGTCAAGCGGTAGCCGTGTGGTTGCCTATCCTTTTCTTATATAAGAAGTTGGAAAAAGACATTACATAAATACGCTGGATCTATTTTACTATGCGGCGCAATGTGGTGTTTATGTTTATAATGTGCATCAATGTTGGAGCAAAAGAAACAGGCACCTTGTCCTGTCTACAATATCGTAGGTATATAGTCTAAGGGTGTATCGGTCTCTGGATTGCAGGGCTTGGGGAGTTGCGCCGTCTTATCGCAAGGTTTTGGGTCCGTTCAGCCGGTCCGCATGTTGTTTGCATAATTTTTTTTGTGGAAACCTCAGTAAAGTAGTCCTGGAGAGTGTCTATGTTCGCCATTTTATGTACCTCCTCTATTTTGATACGTTTGTAGTCTTTTGTTCTTGCGTGTTGCTAATAATTTTTCACGCAGGAACTCCGTATAGAAGGGTGGGTCGAATAATTGTCTTGTAAATTTGTATTTCGTTTTCCGAGCTTAGAAGATCTCGGTTTCATTATTGGCGCTAGTCTGGCGCTAGTCCGTTGCGTTTTCCGCAAAAAGGCACTGTTTTATATTGCGGTACCTATTGTCTGCGTACATTTTGGCTTTTGTGTCATTTGTCTTGGAGAAGTCTGCAATAAAGAGATTGAATAGTGTTGGGGACAGAATTGTGCCCTGGTTCGTAGTAGAATCTTCCACCAGAGGCCTTCCTGTTGAGCAGTTTGTTATTAATTTTTGTTGAATCCGCGGAGGTAGTTAGTGTATTCTTTTATATTTTGGGAGGGATAGGGTATTTTATTTTTGTAAATGCCTTTGCTGAGGTTTGTCAAAAACATTTGCGAAATAGCTGGCACACACTTCGGCTTTGTCTTGTTCGTGATATATGCTCTTGCCGAAATCCACAAGCAATAGCTCATTTCCAGGGTGATATGCTCCACTCTAGTGCGTGAGTGATTTATATGGTTACGTTCAAACTACACTAATGGCCGTTTCCACCAAGTATTTTAGGGGAGCCTTAACGATAAGTATTCCCTAAAATTACATTTTTACATGTAGAAATATCAGTTCAAGGAATACTTATCGTTAAGGCTCCCCTAAAATATTTGGTGGAAACGGCCATTAACGCCAGTTATAGAAGATGCGTAATTTCAAAACTACAGAAAAAACTTAACATTTTAACTGAAACCTGACTTGTGAAAGCGGCCCTTAGCTCATTTGAACGGGATTCAATAGACGAATTTTCCAACGGTAAATTAATTTGAATTAATTTAAACCAACGTTTGGAGCTAAGCGCGTTCACACAATGAAAAAAAGTTCCCAACCTTGGGTCGAACGTTCACCCAAACGTCATGTTGCGATTATTATTAAAATTGATTATCTGGCTTAAGAAATGGGTTTGCCATTCCGCAAAAGATCTATACTTCCCTTTGTTTTTTATCAGCCTGCGTTCTATATTATTTAGGCCCGGTTTAATAATCTTCAGATAAACTTGCTGGTAACTATCTGCAAGTTAAATTTATCGTTCCATATTTCTATTGGTCGGCGGATAACTGGCTGACCAATGAGATTGCAGATTGCGTTTTTGTCCGTCAGATTGCATATCTGAGAGTTTATCAGAAGATTAATAAACCGGCCTTTAGTAAGATAATAATATCAAGAACCAAGAACTTTCTTGCGTCAGAAATAACTTAGCTGAAACAATTTTTTTACTTAAAAATCTAGCGCAACAATGCGAATTTGTCCCTAACCTATAATTATAATTCTTTTGTTAATACTGTTCGCCAACGGAATCACCGACTGTGTTCCTTACTTTGTAATTTCCAATTTTACTCTAGGTCGTCCATAGTCCTGAGCCACACTATTCGACCATCGGCAAAACAAAAAGTCTACAGCGTGCTTTTTTATGGGTTCTGACAGTCTCTTTTCTGTATTTTGAGAACTTGCTCCAGATATATCTTGAAAAGCGTAGGAGAAATACACCCTTGTTTTGGTTAGTTTGGGTTATTGACTTCAAATCCTCTAATCAGCCGTTTTTTCATCTACCTTTTGTTGGTTGTTTGTTTATTTTTTTTTTTCAAACGCTTTATAAAGTAGTTACTGTTGAAGTCTTTATGGAGATCTACATACAGCAAATATGTTATTCTTGTGTATATGCTATTATCTTCATTCGTGTTATACAGAACAGAGGGTCCATAGTCGTTCTCCCCGCCCTAAACCCGGCTTGCTTTTTCACTACCATACCTTGGTACTTACTCGTTCTCAACTCTTATTATTTTTCAATAGATTCAACTAAGCCGACTAGTACCACAGATTACTTACATACAGAGGCGAAAGAGCGGCGAATTCGTGGTTCAAGATTAATTTGATAGACATAGGCTGGCCGCACCAATGCCACATCAATGTATTTTGAACATATTTATTATATAAATGCGGAAGCTCAATAATATAATATTATTTCTTTAATTGGTTCACAAACAGCAAAAAAATATTTTTTTCTACCCGCAAAAATATGTAAACACACAGGCTGGAACATGCTCACGCACTCGGCCACGTTAATTGTCCTGACGCGGGCGATCTTTATCTATGCGTAGGGTTGCTGGCAGCCCGGCTTCGTCACAGAATATCGTCGACGGCAAGTATACGTACTTTCGCATCTGTATTAGGTGATCTGTGCTAGTACCACAGAAATAACTCTATAATTGTCGGAGTTGTCTTTTCTTCATTTTTGCTGAATTGTAGATATGTAAGAAGTTTTCTATTCCTCTCTTACTTTGGTACCATTTAACTATTTCTGAAAAAGGTTTCGTATTCGACAAAATAGTCTATACCATATTCTCCGTTCTTCAGATGTATCCACAGTTTGTCAGCCTCAGGAAGTGTCAGCAATATCATGCAGCCAAAAGTTTTGACCACATCGGGAATATCTCCTTGAAACACTGCTCGTTTTTTTTATAGGTTTCCAGGTGTTGATCTCATTCATGATATGTTAGTGGGGATTTAATATCTCTAGTAGGTTCTTTTCTTGATTTTCCTATAACTTCCAACTCGCCGTACCTCCTATATATATCAGAATGTTTTCTATACGGAAAATTCATAGTGCCGGTGCTAAGCGTGCAATCCACTGCACTCACCTCTTACGATGAGGTTCTTCTAGACACGGAGTCTAGAAGCGAGATGAAGAAAGAGGATTCTGGCCCTCAAAAAATAGTCGTCAATTCTGCACGTTGTTCTACGCTCTGACATCTGGTATTTTAAATTTCGTTTTCTGTTAAATAATTAGGTAATTGATGAGGGATTTCCACTTGTGAGATTGTTTGGTCCAGGTGTACTTATTATGTTTTTGTGTTTGACGAAACCATTGTGGGCATTTACGTCTGAATATTCGCGAAGTGGTATTGTTGACAACGTGTTTCCCATGTGCCAACTGTTAGCCGCAACAGTGAAGCTATACAGTATTTAGTTCTACTGATCTCCTATGTCTCCTTGGGAATATATGTATCTAGAACCACTGACTGATATCTAAGTTGGTTCACTTAAAGAAGTTCTTTTATGGCTATATTTGCATCTTGATTCATTGCATAGATTCCAAAATTCGTAAGTCTCTATCCGTTTATTGTGATATTCATTTTCATCAGTCTCATTTACGGCATTCCAGTTGGTGATGAATTGAATCAATCAACATGAGATTACATGTTGACCAACATGCTAGGCTTGCCTTTGCTACACCGCTATGGGAGTGGTAATACTGTCCTAGGTTTTCAGATCTTTTCCCTTTCTTCTTTGTTTCCGTTAGTACTACAACGTCTATATCTTCACGGGTGCGAAACTTTTATGTACAAAAACATTCAACCAAAAAAACTCTAGAATCACGTAAATGCTTGTTTATTTGAATCACCATATCGATTCGTCGTAGTTTCAATATTATTGGGATAAGATGTTAGACCTGTCAAGGACCGTGTGATTGTTGTCGTATAGCTACAATCACACAACACGTAAAAAAGCTTCACGTCTCTGGAAAGACAACACCATCAGTCCAACACAGCAAATTGCTGCGACGATCGCCAAGTTGCGACGAGAGCAGGATTGTGTTCGGCACCTGTTAGTGACGAACCGGAACGTAGGTGACGGCTGTTTGATGTCGTGTATTTTCCATAGAATAGAATACTCAGTATATTTCTTTAAGCTTGATTTCAAATATGAAGTTTGGTAGCGAAGTCAGAATTCTCGTAACTTGTCTAATTTACAAATAGAACACGATGCAATGTTCTAGAAAAACTTATTTTTCGATGTGAAGCCCAGTAAAGTCGTTAACTCATTTCAACAAAAGTTCACTCACCGTTACCCCACTCCTGAAACCAAATTTCTACCGATTTTGTGGTTCCATTAAACTCTCCACCAACAACAACAACATTTATTGAACTAATTGACCTAAGACCATTTACTAATGACTTATCGTTTTTAGTTAACTTTATACAATAATTCTCTTATTCAAACTGACTTGGCGCCTGATTCTCGAAACAGGGGAGCAGGGTTCGATGCAAAATCTCATATGAGTGACAAAGACCGAAAATTTGTTCTCATGAGAACGGTGCTCCCTTGTTTCAAGAATCAGCCGCCTGGCTGACTTACAAACTACGCGCTCTATATACAGAGACATTTATTCTAGAATCACGTGAATGTTTGTTTATTTCAATCACACAATGAAATTCCTGAATAAGCTCCAGTCGAAGCAGTGGCGCCGGCTTCTCCTCACCAATTGTTCCTGTGAAACGGTTTGTGGTAAAGTTGTTGATATACTGGGTTCCATCGTTTTCGTTGAGTGATGCTTTCGACATTGGAAACTGAAAAAGACGTTGCTACTACTGTTCAAAAAATTTAATAAAATATCAATTCCAATTGCATCAACAATTTGTAATTCACAGATTCTATCCTTTCCGTTGATTTAAGTATGCCACAAGATCAGGAACGAATTATTGAATGTATTTAACAGAGTAAGTTTGCATGGTAGTAGATGAAAACATTATAGTTGCAGACAATATTTTTGGATTAAAATATATATTTTCCTCCAGAAACCGCTTTTTTCCAACATTGCTAGACAAGTCGGCGGAAATAAAAGGTAATGATACTTGTTTGTCCGCAAATTGATGCATAATTACATTCTCTTTGCGAAGAAATTATAGAAAAACAAATGAAAAAAATATAGGAGCAACTGAAATACAGACGTCGAGGACGAAAGTTGGGAAAATTACCTGAAAGGTAAGAGTTTCGCAACCAATTTAAAAAATACATCTTTTTTCATTTCTCAATCGTTGTTTTCGAGATAATGATTGATATAAGGGCCTCTAAATGCCGACCAGATTAAGAATAAATGCTTGTGATTTTTATTATAAAAAGGGTTATGCTTGAATTTTATTTACAGGGATTATCAATTTTTTTATTCTCAATTGAGTAAATCTGCTTTTGGTTTATCCATAAAACCCCAGTACCTGAATTTGACCCTGAAAATTTGTCATTAATCTTTTGTAGCAATTTCTTCGCAGTTCTTTTTTAGAAACAATCTCTGTTGGTCCACCATATACATACCTACATAGAAATTCAAAAAAAAAGAATCAGTAATATACTAGTCAGTTTCAATTTTTGTTTCTGTTCCAAAAACTATAAAACTATAATTAACGATATGCTTGATGCTTGTTCTAAATTAAAACATGTCAATCGGGAATCTGATTGGTTGTTACTGATTCTTGGTGGGAACAGACCTGTTCTAGTAGTAAGTATCCGTCACAAATATTAAATAAATAAGTTACCTGTAATAAGGACTACATTGCCAATGCCGAATTATTAAATATTGTCCATTTTTGTGAGATAAGAAAAAATATAATGAAAATATTATAGGATAATCGTGTATTTTATGTATTTTTAAGACAAAAAATTTTAAATGTGAATATAATCTATATTAAAATTAGTAATTTAGGAATCGATGTTTTTTGTTGAGAAATTGTGAAACAGTTAAATAAAGAAAATTGAAAAAAAAAAAAAAATTGGTAATTGTTCCGGTTGTTTGTTTCGTTGAATCTAAAAAGATGCAAACGGAATATTTGAGAAATAAATGACAATTAATTAAAAAATATCAAAATGTTTTTATTTTTAATGTACCTAATGTGTAAAATTTTTGTATTTAACCAACGATTTAAATTACCCGACAGAAAACTGTTGGTAAAATGACCAATTTAAACAACTCTGATGGATGAGGAAAATATATGTAATGCTATTAGGATTCTGACAAAAAAAGTCATTTCGTTGTATTTTGAGTACGTGAACGTGACAGTTATATTAGTTTTGAACTTATAGGATTGTAATCAGGATGAAATGATTGGTCTGAGGAGCAGAAGTTCGCGATGGAGTTTGGATCGGTTGTTTTCAATTGGACATTCTATACCTACCCCCTCCTCTTCAATATTGGATTCTGGGTGTCCATCAAGCCATCCAAGAATGGTAATGTTTTTGCACACTAATTCAAAAATGGCTCTTCTTGAATTCTTCTCGTGGAAGTTGTGATAAACCTATAAAATTTATTTAAAGTCTCTTAATGGGGAACTATGCAATTTATTGTGTATGTTATTAAAGGCTAAGCTGAAAACTGGAATTATCACAGAACCAATAAATGTTTTGAAAAAAAGTTTTTGGAAACATGCTCATAGTACCTAATTATAACCAAGCTAATAGTCGCTACATATATAAAAACTTTTTATTTGTAGGATATGGCATTTTTTTTTTATGTGTGATCCATCCAGCAGGTTCGATAATCATTTTTATTTAATGCTCTAGGAATAATTTCAATGAAGAATTTAGGTTTGTTTTAACATTGCACATTAGATATTGCGTTACTACTTGGACTATTTCAATTATGAAAACTGTATAATATCATTTTATAAGAGATCCATGACTGAAGATAGGGAATTTATCTATCATCTAACCCCACTTATCGGGTTTTCAAATCGAAATTTTCGAATTTGCTGCCACCAGTGATCACTTGACCGATGTTAAAATGTAGTTTTAGGTTATTGGACATGCGGGATCGTTCCCACATAAAAAAAATCTATGTTACATATAAAAAGTTTTCACATATGTAACGAACATTATGATGGACACTGTAGGTACATTTTTTCTTTTAGCAATAAAATCTTTATACAAAATAAAAATTATCTATAGTTTTCCGTTATTTCTGCTACTTGAAATAATATTATTATTGAACCAGACTCAACATCACGTTATCCATCAGGAAGCGGAACTTGAACTGAATTCATGTGCAACCAATTAAATTACTTTTGTTAAACATATTTCTACTCAAACTACTTATACTCTGGATTTAAGACACATTAAAAAATTACATATTTCATGCCAAAAGCTGTGCGTCATAATATATCCTTTGCCTGGTATCTGGCAAAATTAGTAATCCGGATGCTCGTGAAAGAAAATAGAAGCAAATCAGCTGATAGAATTTCCAGAAACAAAATTTCACGAACCGGAAGATCATCATCATCATAGGCAATCACTCGGTACCGAGTATAATCTATTCTCATAATCTCATTGTCGTCGATTGTGCGTGTTCTGATGGCTGTATAAACCGATTCTAGAGCCGCACACTCTACAGTCTTGGCACACCCAGTCTCTGACAGCATTGTCTCTCCCTCTGTTCTTTCGCTCCTTCCTACGGTCCCCCTTTTCGATCTCGTATCGGCGCCGCTATTCTTCAAAAGTTTGTTCCTTTAGAACATCTTTGTAGCGTTTTTGTTGACCTCCTTGATTTCGTTTTCCCTTTTTCATTTGACTGTAAAGAATCTGTCGTGGAAGACGTGTTTCGGGCATGCGGAGAGGTGACCTGTCCAGCGAAGTTGGTGCTCAACGATGAGGGATTCAATGCTGGTTGTTTTGATCTCCTATAAAACACTAATGTTTGTTCGTCGGTCTTGCCATTTAATCCGTAGAATCCTTCTTAGGCATCGCTGGTAGTATTTCTCTGGGCTTTTTATATGCCTTCTGAAGGTGGTCCATGTTTTGCAGCCATATGTATGTGTTGGTATTACAACGACGTGAAGGTTGGTCTCAGCGCTGATGTCGTGATTATTGGAGACTCTCTAGAAGTCACCCGAACGCCGCGCTAGCACACTTCAAGCGATGTTAGATTTCGGCGTCAGTGGTTGCATTCGCTGACAGATATATGAGTCCCAAGGCGGCATGGGTAGTGTTCTACCTTCTGCAAAGAATGGCCATTTATAGTTATATTTGGGGCTTGGGGATTAGTATCCGGTGCGGGTTAGTGCAGAATCTGCATATTGTTAAACTTGACCTCTAGACCGATTCTCCTGTATGCCTGGTTGAACGCATTGATGATTGCCTAAAGATCTTCCTCTGTATCGGCCATCACGACGTTATCATCCGCATATTGAGGTTCAATTATCGATGTCGTCGATACTTTCGTCTTGGCTCGTAATCTGTTTAGGTTGAATAAGCCGCCATCACGTCGGATTTCCATTCCTGACGGCAGGTGACCCTCGACAAGGTGAAGTATGGATCCTATAAATAGAGAAAATAAAGTGGGTGCGATAACACAGCCCTGTTTAACGCCTGTAGTTATTTGAAAAGAGTCTCCATCGTTGCTTAGGACGGTTGCATTACTATTGTCATGCACCAGGCGGAGTAGGTATCTGGATGTAATTTTGCTTACACCCAACCTATGCCAATTTCTTCCAAAGAGTTTCTCTATTGACCGAATCAAATGCTTTCACTAAATCTATGAAGGCCGTGTATAGAGGGCGATTTTGTTCCCTGGATTTCTCTTGCATTTGTCTTGCACTGAAAATCAGGTCAGCTGTACCTCGGTTCGGTCTAAAGCCACGCTGTGTCTCTTCGGCGGTTGACACTAAACGATTTGATAATAGCCTTGCAAGTATCTTACCCGCAACTGAAATAAAAGATATTTCTCTGTAGTTTCCACATTGAGGCTTGTCCCCTTTTCAAAAATGGTAACTATGGAAGCATCTCTAAGTTCGGCAGGTATGGTCTCAGTAATCCATACCTTACTTATTAGCATGTAGGTTTGGGCACCTACTGTGGGATCTCCTTGTTTAAAGAATTCAACAAGAATGCCGTCAATACCAGTTAACTTATTGTTTTTTAATTGTCTGATTGCCTTTTCAAGCTCCTCTAATCTAGGAACCTCGCTCAGTTCTTGTTGTATTGGTTTCTGTAGAATTTGATTGAAGATGATAAAATTAATTTGTGATTCTCTGTTGAGTAGTTCCTGAAAGTGTTCCTTCCAACGAGAATTATTGGAGGAACTGTCTTTAAGCAGTCGTGTGTCATCTTCGGATCGTAGGGGATTAAGTCCTTGAGTGGTTGGTCCGTATACCATCTTAGTAGCCTGAAAAAACCCCTGGTGCTGTTGGATTTAGCTAGTTGCTGCATTTCGTTTGATTTTGTTATCCACCATTGCTTCTTTAGTGCTCGCGTTTGCCTTTGAACTTCTGCTTTTGTTTTTTGGTATTGCCTTTCTTTTACAGTCGAGTTGGGGTCGCTTCTCCATGCATTATGCACTCTTCTTTTTATTTCTATACAAGGTCTTGAATTTCAGTGTCATTAGTGGTGCCGCGAGACGAGACTAGACGAGACTCAGGGTTGGTCTCGTCTCGTCTCGACATCTCGAGACGAGACCGTGATTTAGTCTCGGTCTCGAGTACCAAAGTCTCGTCTCGTCTCGAGTGGTCTCGAGTTATACAGGGTGTCCTATAGCGTAAAAACTCTTCTCTACGTGGTGGAGGACCCTACAAGGAACCCTAGAAAAATACTTTAAAAAATCTAGTGGCATTCTTAAGAAAGTGATTTGCATTTTAATATTTATTAAAACTGGCAACACTGAAAACATCCCGTTGACAATATGTCAGAGAATTAAATCAAATACCCATGTAACTACCTGAAAAATTCGAAGGTGAATTTTCACATCTACCTCTTCATATTACCAAGAATAATGCTGGAGAAGCATTTTTTTAATTTAATTATTTTTCTAGGGTTTCTCAAAGGGTCCTCTACTACTTGGAGAGTTTTAACGCTATTTTTCGGACACCCTGTATTTATGGTTTTCGTTTTTATACTATAACGGAAGTCCAAACTGCCACAGTAAAAAAGCAATTAGTGAAAAATCACAGTAAAGAGTAACCCTGATATTTAAATTACTGATTTCATATTCAAATAGTCCAGAATAGTCCAATATTAAAGCTATGAAAGAAAAATTTTTAGTGTAATCTCGAGACTCGAGACTACACGAGACTCTCGCCGAGTCTGGTCTCGTCTCGTCGAGACGTCACGAGACGAGACCAAAAACCAGTCTCGTCTCGAAAAGTCGAGACGAGACGAGACGAGACCAGTCTCGAGTCTTGCGGCATCACTAAGTGTCATCAAACCAGTCTTCGCGTTTCTTTTGTATGTAGCCGACCGTTTCTTCCGAGGCAGATGTTATTGCGGTCTTCAGTATTTTCCAGTGCTCTTCAAAGCTTTCCGGGTACTCTAAGGAAAGTTTCTGGCTTAGACAAGCTTGGAAATTTGTCCCGATATGATCGTCTTGAAGGCGTTCTATGTTAAATTTGCGTTCCAATTGCTTTTTTTGACATCTACGCTTGGGTGGGATGCGCAAGTTCATTCTGGCGCGTATCAGTCGATCGTCGATCCAGCAGTCATCCGCATTTGTTAGAGCTCTCGTTATTATACGCATTCCGGTCTCTAGAACGTACAATTATATAATCGATTGGATGCTAGTGTTCCGACCTAGGGTGTTGGCAGGAATTCTTGAATTTTTTCTATTGTCGAAAAAGTGTATTCGCTATTCCAAGGTCATATTCTGAGCATGTGGTTAGTAGCCGAAGTCCTTTGAGTTCATTTTTCCGACGCATTCCGGGCGTTCAAATCACCTAAAAGAACAAGTTTATCAGATCTGATACATATACAAGGTTCATTCTCTTCCTTCTTTGTCCAGAAAAACGTACCTATAGCCTCCTCCGTGCTTTTTGAGTTGACCTTCGCCTGCTGTTCAGGTTCCACTTAGAGCTGCAATATCGATGTTAAATCTTCTGCATTCCCATGCCACCATTGCCATTCTTCGTTGTGGTCTTGTATTTGTCCTGGTATTC